ACCCACGGGAATAAATGCAAGTTGGTGTGCTTTTTTTTTTTTTTTTAGCTGATCGTGTCTTATTTTTTAAAGTATTTATTCCATTTCCTGTATGATTTTACAACTTTGATTCTGATGATCCAATCTGTTCTTAATAAAATCAACAGCTGTCCATAATGAGTCGAGGAGCTTCCTAACAACCGTCTTCTGACAGTCAAACGGTAAAACTAATGCTACTGTATACACAAGGCAAGACTTATTCAGGACCTTTGTAAATTAAAGTCCAGACTTTCTCAGACTTTTAAGCCTGTATCTAACGTGGGAAGTGGCCAGAGAACGGCGCTTCTTACCTCCTCTCCTCTCTGAAGTACAGGACAGGCTTCCTCCTCGAAGAATACATCATCTTTACAAACGGCCAGCTGCCTGATCTCAGGCCAGTTATGAAGATAAATACAGACAGGCTTCAGCTTGTCAAACTAACATAAAAGAAGCAGCAGTCTTGTTGTGTGTTGTGACAAATCTATGACTCCTCCATCCTCTCTCGTCTCAAAGTGCTGACGGAGTCCAAACTGTCGTCCGTGCTAACTCTTTGCTAACTTTCACCACACAGTCCCTCCGGAGGTTTACTTTTAGAGCGCGTAAACATTTGCCCAGTAAATTCAAATGTTAAAATCCATTTCTGTAACCGGTTTATTCGGAATCCATGCTTGTCTGTCCGTTAGCTCCTTCACGTTAACCGTTACTGTACACGTAGCATTTAGCGGTTCACTCGCACGGCTGCTCCGGGTTCAAACATTTTCAGTTTTAGCTCGAATTTATCCGCGACACTGTTCGACATAGGCTGTCCATTAATGTTATAAAGCAGTGGAAAGTTCAACTTAAATGGACAAAAGGCGACAGCAGAAATATTTTTACGCTATTTCACGCTGGGTATTATCAAACAAGCCGATTATGATAAAAATCCAGCCTGGATAATAGTCCGTGTAGGAACGGCGGCAATCAGTATCAAAGGTTCCTACGGCTTTTTAAACATTAAAGGAACAGTTCACCAGCAGTGGTTTGTACTTAAGTGTAACACTTGACAATCATAGTCTTAAAAATGATGAATAGACTTTACAGTTTAAATACAGCCTGTGCTTTAACATGTATATATCATCACTAGTGTAAAGCAGTTAAGCACATTTATTCAAGCAGGCTTCTCTTTTGATATACAGTACTTCTATGTTACTTATGTAGACCTATTTTAATTTTCATGACACTTTCTAATTAACATTATTACATTTTAGTGGAAAAATACTGTACATTTTACTGCATTACCTTTACTTGGCAGATACAAATTTACCCAAACAAACTAAAATGTCCTAACAAAATGTGTAGCAATTTCAGACATCAGACCCCTGCACTTTTTGAATTACAAATTTAAAATGTACAAAATCAATTTGAAATAATTTCTTCCCATCCATCTACACTCCATAACCTACCACATGACAAAGTTGACCTACAAAAGGGGTCTAAACACTTTTTGAAGCCACTGTATGTGGTGTTTTAAAATTACCAGAAACAAATTCCTTGTGTGTAACATACTTGGCTAATAAAGGTGGTTATCCTTATCCTTGGTCAGATACGAAATCTAAAAACATTTTATCAACCAGGCAAAATTACTTTAGTTTTTAATTGCATTACCTTTTGCAGTCACATCTCTCTCAAATGTAATTGTTTGAAATCGTTTCCCCTCAAAATACAAAGCCACAATGTTTTAGGGTTTGGTGAGGAATATTACAATAATAATAATAAAACAAAACAACAGCCATTAAATCAAATGTGACAAATTTTATTTCAAATGCAAGTTTAGATGTCACATGGACAAAATCTTTCTAAAAATAAATTCAAGCCCCTCTTCCAACAACAACAAACTACTTAACACATACGACCAGAAAATAACGAGCAGAACAAAATCTTAACTGAAAACAGAAAACCTTTAAAGTAAAACTTATCTGTTGTCTATTGTCCAGTACTTCCCTCCTCAGATTCTTATTTATTACACAGGTTTCTTGTCACTGGACTTGAGAGGAAACCATTTTTACTGCTTGTTTCTCACTGAGCAAACTCAGTGTGGACGTGGAACATTTAGCGACTTGGGTCTTTGGGGTCTTGGATTTAAACTCAACTGTACATGCCAGTTTTTTGTTTTTGTTGTCCTACATGTAAAAATTGAAAATCTTGAGGTAAAGATCATTCGACCAGTGTCAGGAGCTGGTGAAGCAGAGCTGAGGTTTGTATTCACAACTTTTTGGGCCTTACTTCAAAGCCTTTCTTCACCAGATATATGCTTCACGAGCTTTCTGACAAGTCATCACTTCAGCTTATCATCATTAAATATAATGGGAAACCTCCAGCAGGGCGCAGAAGTATGTTTAGATTGAGTCTTGATTGGATTGCACATAATGTTTTTCCTTCAAGGGCCTGTTTAGAAAGAAAACCTGCTGGCTGAATTCTAAATTATACAAAAGCACAAAGAGGGAAGCGTCCCCGGCAGCCACATTTAATAGGCAGACCAACACCAAACCAGACTCGGACACAGAAACATACATTCAGTATGGACACAGTAAAAACAGACAGGGAGTCCTTGGCAACTATTTTGTGGGATTTCAATAAGGTGGCCTGAAAAAATTAAAAATGACAGGTGCAACACAAACTGCATCTGAGAGCAACGACGTCACAGTCACCAGTGTTGGCTTCGATTGACATTTTCACCAAATACAGTCAGTATGCAGCAGAAAACTCGACTGCAGCATTAGAAGGGAGGGCATCATGTCGTCTGACTCATCTGACATGACTGCTGAAGCCTGGCTTCAGAGACCAAGCACTGGATGGTGAACTGAGTCACTTCCCTGTGAGAGCAACACACATCTACTGAGTGCCTAAGTCCTATAAGAGAGTAAAAGGACAAGCAACCGTTTCAAGCTGTAAAGATGTTTGGGCTGTCTTTAGCCCAGAGTCTCAGTTTGGCTCATGGCCAGTGAATCACATGGATTTCAGTGCAACCTGGTGACAGAACATTTCACTTCCACAAAGACTGTCTGCAACACCTGGTGAAGCCGGGTAAGCATCTCTGCTGTTGAATCGAAGGTGTTTAAACCTGTGTTGCTATCGAAGCCAAGATTCTGGTAATGTGAAGACACAAACCAAGAGCTGGAGAGAGGTCCGAGAAAAATCCCAACACTGCAGTGTTTAACAGCAGGTGGCACAATCAAGAGCTCTGACAACTGTCATCAGCGTGCACGTCATGGCTGCAGCTCGTTGCCTTCATGAGGGTGAGTTTGTTGTGCATGTCCTCAGAAAATGATTCCCATGACTTGAGGGGGGGGGCATTCAACTAGGACGTGAGGCTGAAGGAGACATAAATAAAGCCATCATCTGAACAGCGCTACAGAGCTGCAGCCATCCATCATCAGTGAACCCTCCATTTTTTTTCTAATTGTTTTTTTTGTTTTGCACTTTAAAAAAAACAAAAACAAACAAAAAACAGTAAATGTATCACAAAATCAATACATACTTTATATAACCAAATCCACATATACTGCATTTAATATAATGAAATAAAATTTAAATAAAAAAGTCCTCACATTTGAGGCTGAACAGTCAAATCTTTGATATCTGTGATTGAAAAATGATGATTCAGTGGTTACCAAAGTCGTTAATGTAGTCCTTCTTGCAGCTCTGGACCGACACCATTTACACTTATGTTGGCGGGGTATGAACCAGCCCTGATGGAGGAACTGTAGCTGGGTGTGTAAAAACATTTACACTGAAGCCGGTTTTCTACAAATATGCCTATAATTTATCCCATTTTAAAGTTTTTTTTTGCAACTGGAAATCGGTTGATCTGAAGATGGAAGATGCAGAAAATGTTTCACCAAATTATTCAATTATTTTACTTAGTAATCCAAATTAAAGTTTCAAACTCTCATGTCATGGAAACCTGATGTACAACTAAAGAAACCTCTAGCGGCCAGTAACACGCTGCATACTCAAAGCCAGTAACAAGAAAGAAAAATGGAAAATTCTTCTTCATAGTAATAAAAAATGACTTGATCTTTATTTGACATGACTTCATCTGCCTGGTTTAGTTTGTCTGTCCCAGTGCTGCTGAGCCTAATTTTGTGGTGTCAACAGAACACGAACATACATGTCTGACATGACACAAACCTAGTCCCAATCAAAAGGTAAAAACATGTCCCTGATAGTCTACTGCAAACACAAGCTCTTCACAAACAGGGTTAGTGAGGGAACAATAAGAGCATCCAGAAGATTAAGAAAGATGTTGTTTTCAAGCCGATTTCTCGTCTCCTCAGCAGTATTTCCTCCAACAGCAGCGATCGCTGCCACTGCTCAGTACTGCATCAAAGACACACAGTCACACACACACTGAGACTCTCCTCTAGGAGAAACATTACACCAGCTTCTTGGCCTCAAAGAAGCTCTTCAGGTGCCTCATCTGCCAGATGCCAATGGCAACCAGGATGAGGGTCTGGACGATGGACCACCAAAGGACCCGCTGGTTGGTGCTCTCACTGGTCTGACGGAAACGCTCCTCCCGGTACTGAGAGACAACACACAGACAGCAGGGGGCGCTCAATAACAGTTTATGTTATCAACTACTGTTATCTGACAATTTTCCAGCCACTCAGTAATCACCAAGTCACTATTAATGAGTTTCTCTTCTCCCCCCCCTCCCCTGCTCAAGGGGGATTTGTTGGGTTTTCCCTATGTAATAATATTGATAACAGTAAGGTCTAGACCTTAGTTTGTAAAGTGTCCTGAGATGACTTTTGTTGTGATTTGGGGCTATACAAATAAAATTTGATTTGATTTGATTTGATATTAATCAGGTCCATTTTATATAACTTTGTTTTTAGCCAAAGCCCAAGACAAATGAAGCCAATTAACTGGAAAAAAAATCTAAAGTTTGACCATTTCAACTCTAATGAAAGGTATATATTTGAACTGGCTACAATACAAGTCAGCACAGTGAGATTCCATTCTTTTACTTTTCATATATTTTCTAAGTCCTTGTTTATTCTTGCTGACAGACTGGACCCTCCTGCACTTGGATGACCAGACTTGTACAAATCTGTGGAGAGAGGTTCAGCTGTTCTTTGCTGGAGGAGTTTGTTGATCTGCCTTCTGCTTTAAGATACTCCAAAGGTTTTCTCTACAAACCGGGCCAGGTCACAGTTGTCGCTTTTTTCTTCTGTAAAAACTCCTGTGGGATTTCTGCAGTGTGTTTGGGAGCACTCTCATTTTTTCCATTAATTAGTTGGGTACAAACCTGTATTCACAGTGCCACCTATAACTGTCAGGTCACCTACACCTTCTGCACTCACGCTGGTGGTCCTGGCCTAGACCATGCCAAACATGCTGGACCCCATCTGATCCAAACTCATATGTTTTGGGTCGATTTGACCAAAGGATGTGTTGCCAATTTTGAAGACACTAAAATTCACATCCTCCATAAAGAAAATACAGATGCAGCCACGCAGAATTGCGCTTCCCAGCTGAATGGCGTGCAGCTGGCATGCAGTCCCCATGAGCCTTGCAGGTGCCCCCCTTCTCCTGTTGGCTAATAAGGCGCGTCTAGATTTTGCAGTAAACACGCAAATTAAAGAGCTATTCCTTGATTTTCACGGTATCACCATTAGATGTCGCTTTGTTCTCAAAGTGTGTACTGTATTCACACTGCAGAGTTGAGGTTTTGTTTAGGCCACGGTTTATTCTATACACTTGTCTGACCATAATCCTTATCATACAGGTACTGTGCCGTTAACCCATTAAATGAAAGGAAACTAAACCGAATGAAAGAAGGAGCACAGTTTGGAGATGTAGAGAGGGACAAACAGCAAAACTGCCTGCCAGAGGCTGGAGATAAGGCATTCACATTTAAATCAAGTGGTCATGGCAACTCACACCTAGTAACTATTACTGTGACAGACACAGACACTGATTAACAGCTCAGCCTGGCAGTCCTACTGTACTCATCCAGCAGCAGTTCTGGACATTAACAGAAGGATTATATTATCAGTCGGCCCCTGCAGTAAACTAGAACAAACATTGCTCCACCTGGCAGATATGTACAACACTGCAGGCGGCTTGCACGCAGGGTGCTTAGGTGCGTTAACAAGGCGGCACTGCGATCAATGCCTCATCGCAGGGGACATATGGTAAAAGCAGGGGCTGTGTGTGGACCTGTCACGAATTGGGCATAGTTCCACCACGGTCCAGCCAGCAACTTAAAATGGCTGCATCAGTACACCTCCTACGCTCACAATAACAATCTCTGCTTTCACTGTGTTTACACACAACAATATTATAATTCTGACAAAAGACATCAACAACAGACACAGACAGTGACAGTGACTGACCCTCTGGTAGTTCTGCTCCTTCTGGATCTGGTCCACCTGCTCCACCAGCTGTCGGACTCTGAGCTGCAGCTCCGTCAGTTTGTCTTTGGCAGCGATCTCAGCGTAGTTGTTGGCGTGTTCACCCACCTGGATATCCAGGTGAACCCTCTGCAACACAGAAGCAGGTAGCGATGTCACACAGTCTCCATTATCATTATGTGACAGTGTGACAAAATACTGTAGTATAACCCTCACTGACATGTTATGGAGATCTTAAAAATGAAGTTCAGGAGCTGAACCACGCTCGAAACTCACACACACCTCACTCTTCCAATCATATTTAAACCAACCAACCAAGAAAGACACTCGTCCACCTCCGCTTTCTGTACCCCCCCATTCATACTCTCCCATCTAGCTCCCTTCATGAAGGGAGTCAGGGCCCGAGAGCAGTGCAGATCTCTGAAGTCTTCCCCCAAACCACAGTACATAATCAAGTCTACACCAAGCACCACTCTCCATTCACTCACTGAGGGTGAGGTCCTAGCTAGTAAAACATTTACCTACACTGAGCAGTGACCTCATTGAAATAAAACTTAAAGACATTTGCATTTTCACCACATCTTAAGAACCAGGTCAATCATGCAAATTAGAACCATGAATTATTAAAAACTTCATGTGGTGTTTAAAACACAAACAGACATTGAAAAACAAAACCAATTTTATTTTATTTGTATTTACTCTTGATGACTGATGGTTGAGTCAAATTTAATGAAATAGTGGAAGGAAGAAAAGCAGCAGAAGAAAAGATGCAAGTCATCTGTCGAGTGTCAATTACTGCTGTAGGAAAAAAAAGCAACTCATAGAGGATAAAACAATTTCCCTTGATCTACAGTTCAGCTGGATTTGGGGGTGTGGTCTCATGTACTGGTGAGCCAATGAAACAAGATCTGGAAAGTGCAGCTGTTTAACTATAAAATGCCATGCCCCTTGTCCGCATTGTTCACTGTGTCCTCACCAGCATGCCTCCAGCAAACAGGGAGAACTTGGAGGAGTTGGAGTGAAGACAGATCTGATGTTCTCCAGGTGTGTGTGATGTGAAGGTGAATCTTCCCTCGGAGCCATACTGACGAGACAGAATAACCTGCAGCAAACACACACAGAACATACAAACCAGTTAAACAGAGCAGAAATTAAAAGCAAACACTTTTCATATTGGTGCTGATGGTTCACCTTGTCATCAGGGTCTTTGACTTCCACAAACATGCCAAGACCCTGAGTAGCCGGCAGGTACTCCTCTGCCTGTTTGTCATATAGCTGAGTTCGGTAGTTACCTGCACAGAGATATTAACGACAGTGAACTTAGACAGAAAACAGCACTTTGTTAAAACTCACAAGGGGCTCTTCAAAGACTATGATATATTCTTCATCTGAGCAGGGAGACGCATCAAATCTAGCTTGGGAAGCTCCCCCCCCCTAAACTCTACATAACTTGGTGGTGTCACACCACAGGAAGAGGAGAGGGACTTGGAAAAAAACAAAACAGAGCTGAAGACGATTCCTGGCTGCTCCCCCCCGCCTGACACCTTTCAGAACATCAACTCCATCATCAGGTGTGCAGAAATCACCTCTCCTGCTCCCACTTAAAGGAAACCAGCCATTCTGTTTCCCTACCTCATTGTGGTGGTGTATAAACAGTGATGCAGTCACACACAGGTGGTGAAACACTGACTTACTACTACACTGTGAAGACTAGTAATTTAAATGGGGATCTGTCTCCACTTGCTGTGAACCACAAGTGTATTCATTATGTAGTTTTTGTAGTATATTATTGATCCACTTTAACTGTTACTAGCTATTACCTGTCTAATTTCAAATTCTGTTTGCTGAACTTAATTTGCATCACATCTGTTGTATTACTTTAAACCACTCTGACTGAAGCTCGAAAATGCCGTTTTTTCTAAATATTTACATCGTGGTAAACAAAGACATACACTAACGAGACCAATCCTGATGCATGTTTTAAGATGTAAGCACAGATGCAAAAATAAACAGCCCTGTGTGCGTGTATCGCCGTGTGTAGACTTCCTGAGGACATGAAGACAACTTTAGCCCAGTTAGCTGATTAGCAAACTTTAGCTGATTAGCTAACTAGCAAAAGTTGGTGAGCAAACAGTTAGCATTAGCCGGAAACTTCCTTTGGCCGGTGACACTCACCAATAATCATCGTCTCGTCCGGAATTTCCTCTATGAAACATTTCTTTTCGGTCTCTCCGATGTGAAAATACAAAGAGGAGACGAAGCTGCAGAAAACGTTCAGGAGTAAAACCGACAACACACACGGGTGCATCTTGACAGACACCATCTTCTTACCGGGAAAGAACTCGACTGAACCTGCGCAGACCCCGGAATGCCACGTAAACCATCGTTCAAGTCTGGCCAATGGGCGCGCAACAGGAGAATTATGGGTGTTGTGGTTCTTAATGCTTAGGGTCGTCGAAGGAGCCTACATGAGTTTACAAAAACTTAGTACTTTACAATATTAAAAGTACCTTTAAAAAGTTATACAAAAAATTACAAAATACATAAAATACTACATTACAAAGACAAATGTTAAGCAAAAGTATGCAAGCATAATCAGGAAATGCACCTAAAGTAGCACTGGGTGATATAATCAAAAGATCAAATGAATTAAATATTTTGTAAACACTGTAAAGAATAACACCAAGTCGTTGTCCTCATAAATATTATATAAATTGTGCATTAATGCGTGAGCAGGATTTTACTGTTATAGCAGGTTGAAGTAGATTTAATTTGGAGAAACAACTTCAAAATCTTTCACCATCATATTTTTAGTATTACATAAAAATTCAGAATAAATTATCATCAAATAAACTATCTTGAAAATGCAAATTCAACGGCCATTCAGATAAATCAGACATGTAGATGTTTATTAGTTTTTCTTTTTGTTCTAATTCTTGAGGACGTTTTAGTTTCTATTGTCAGTTTTTAATACGTTGATTAATAATAATGATCCCGTGACCCCGTTTAGGACTAAGCGGTATAGAAAATGGATGGATGGATAATAATGATAATATTACCCTAATAGTAGTAGTTTCACGTATTATAAGTACACAGCGCAGTGGAGGCAGAAAGCTTACACCGCTGCCGTTTAATTCGACGGCGAAGAAGAAGAACTTCCTCCAAGCGGTTTCCATGGTAATCCAACATGGCGCCCGGTAAGCAACATTTGTGTCAAGTAATTTAACGTTAGCGTTGACACGGTGTGAATACTTAACATAATTAATAGCATAAGTAGTGAGTCGAGAAGAAAATATTTAGAATAGGACATTCCGCCAGCATCTTGGTATGTTAGCTGTTACTTAAGAATTTAACTAGCTGTTAGCATGAGATAACCACGTGAAACCGCGATTAATCAGCACTGGATAAATGTCGATTAATATAAAATTAACAGTCAATCATCACGGCAGCTTTCATCTCAGAAATTAATTTTTGTCATATTATTAAAGCCTCTGAATCAGCATCTGTATCATCGTCACATACTAAAACAGGAACCCGGATACTACTAACAACACTTGTACTACTACTATAACATTTTCTCTTTGATTTTCTGTGAGAGTCTGTGCAGGTTTACTAACAGTTGTATTTTCTCTCCGTCCTGTTTGTGTGCAGGGAGTCAGCCGATCGTATCCTTCACATGAACACGGTGCTGAGCTGCTGTCTGTGTCCGTCTCGTTCTGTCTGTTCTCCTTGACCCTGCCGCTCTCAGCTTTCGTCCACTTTTCTGCAGGTCCTCCTCTACCTGAACATCTGGTACTTTGCAGCCTTCTACCTGGCTGAGATTCTCATGTTCATCTATAAAGGTCTGAATTCCACTGCTACATACAGTATGCAATATACAGTATGTCACTGGGACTGTTGAGTCCTTATGCAGCGTTAGACACATCAACACTGTCCTGCACAGTTTACTCTCTCACCCCTCACTGCTTGTTTTACCAATTCACCTGTCACCTAAAACTTTACTCTTTGTCTTTGTTGTTTGGTATTGTATTGACATTATGGGAGCTGTTTTAGCTTCACTTTCTGGTTCATCAGCAGGATTTTCCTGGATTCTCTTTGACCAGACACAGATTAAAAATTGGTCCGTTTTCTTGTTGGCATCTGTGAAATCACTAAACGTAATAAACGTGTAAACACAGATGACTGCGACAAAATAAAGTTTAAAGCATTAGCTAATATTTTTAGTTTTGACTCATTAAGGTAATTCAACAAGTGACACTTGTTTAAATCAAAGTACATTTATTCAAATCTGACATGCAGTAGAAACAGTAAAATGCATACAGCATTTAGAACAACATAAAACACAAACCAGCCCTCAGGTCAAAGATCCAGATGTCACTACATTTAAAATAAACATCTACAGCAGTGACAACATGTCGTCAGAGAGTCCAGACCTTAGTGAACATGTTATAGTTGAAGAAGGTCAGTGGTCATGGTTTTAGTGTAATAAGGTGGTGACAGTGGTGCAGTGGGTAGAGCAGTCGCCTCCCCAGCAGCAAGTTGAAGGTTTGAATCTCGGTGCCTCCAGTCCACGTGTCGAAGTGTCCTTGGGCAAGACAGTGAACCCCCAAGTTGCCCACAATGGTTAGAGCCATCGGTTGAGTTGGCGCCGCAGATGGCTGCCATTGGTTGTGTAGCAGAAACACATTCCTTGTGTGTAACATACTTGACCAAAGGTGATTATCCTTATAATGAGTGAAAAGGGAGATATTTAAGTGATCAGTGTAACTAATTTTAATCAATTTAAAGTTAGAATGAAATGAAAAATTAGGTTTTGTGTTATGTTACCCAATTTATGTAACTCATATTAAATATAAAACCTTTCAACTGTTGTTTGTTCTAAGTTGTTTCTTGTGTTTGTGCAGGGATTTCACTCCCGTACCCAACTGATAATCTGGTTCTGGATCTGGTGCTGCTGGTCCTCTTCCTCGGCCTAGAGACGCTCAGGATTTTTTATGGTGAGTGAGACGGCAAACAGAGACATTCTGACAGTTATAAAACAGAAACCACACACTCATCTGTCTCCTGTCTCAGCGTTGTCTGAACAGTGTTGATGATGAACATTATTAGACTCAGGCCAGTTCTTGTTTGGTACTTCAAGCTCTTTGGTGCCACCTGGTGGACAGCAGCATCAGTGGTGTCTTATGATGCCTCTAACCATTGCTTTTGTTTCATGTTTTCAGTTATTGTTTAGTGTATAAATAATCCAAAAATAGAGGTGATTCCTGTTATAATTTCCCAGGGTTCACGGTAACATTGTTCAGTTACTTTCTGGAGCTGGAGTCAGCAAATGTTTAATATTTTTGCATAAAAAGACGATTATTTATTTATTTTTTCCTTTATTTTTTCCAAGCATATAAAAGAAAATTATATATATGCACTCATGTATGCACACAATAACATAAATAATAACCATATAACCAATACGCATAAAACAACACAACATTCCAATAGAACATGCTTGAAAGGGAGTAGGAAGAAGTATACACTTATCTAGTCCTACCCCTTTTCTTAGACCGTGGTACCTGTAGAGGCGGCTTACGCGTGCCGTTGGTACTGTATATATTCATTCCACTTCGAAGGGCTCGTCTTACGTTTTTATCGACTTTATCGACTTACATACGAAATTATATATATAGTGGTCATGGTTTTAGTGTAATAAGGTGGTGTACCACTAGCCCAACACCAGACACTCAGACCCACAGCAGTGCCAGTCCCCAACAGCCACCATATATCCATCCTATCACCACCCTATCCATTGTATATACACAACAAACAAATTAAACATAGACCAGCCACACCATGCACCCACGTCCGGCGTCAAACCAACTAACCCATGGTCTATCTCATCCCATTATAATACCCTCTCTTCATCCTACTCTTCATCATACACACAGTGCTTCCTATACTAACTATTCCAATAGCACATTATTAATTTCTCCATACAAAACTAAATTCCCTTTAACATCACCATTCAAAACGTAAGCCTATATTCAATGTCCATACATCCAACATCATTTTCATACACCACACAGACAATGCTCCAGTCTAGTCCGCCATCACACCTCCTCATTCATGTACCTTACATTACAAACCATTTTGTACTTATATTTAAACTGTTCTATGCTAGTACAATATTTTAAATCCTCCCTTTAACCTATTCCACAATTTTACACCACTTATAGAAATACAGAATCTTTTTTTGGTTGTACTTATAGAATGAATTTTTAAATTTAACTGACCCCTTAAATTATATCCCCCTTCCCTTTCATTAAACAATTTTTGAATTCCACCTGGTAATAAATTGTTCCTATTCTATTCCACTAAATCAAAAATTTTAATACTTTAGACTGTATATACTTTAGACTGCATAAATGATGCATTAGTGTGATCCCGATATCCAAGTTTATGGACAATTCTCATTGCCCTTTTTTGCAATATGTACAATGGCTGAAGTGTACTTTTGTATGTATTTCCCCAGCTTTCAACACAATAATCTAAATATGGTAAAATCAATGAACAATATAAAATAATCCAGAATATGTTTAACCCTTGCCAGTATAGAAATACTTTTTGCCATTTTGTTTTGTATATTTTTGATGTGAGATTTCCAGCAAATTTTATCATCGATTATGACTGTAATGCCTTTGGTTAAGATATAAGTTAAATAGTTAGAATCTTGGTTTGAAAAAACTCATCAGAGTGAGAGGTCTTCACGCTGTGTATCCATGGGATTGTGAAAAAATATAGAGTGAGAGCTCTCACCAGAGTTAGAAGATCTTGGACGTCTTTGTTGAAGGGAGAAATTAACAGTTTCTCGGTATTTCCAAACTTTTCTTAGACTCATTATTCTTCTCCTAGTGCTTGTGCTTGTGGAATTCTATGTCTTTGTAAGTAGTGCTGTATTAAGTAAGCTTTTTCTGTTATAGTAATTGCTGTCATTTTACGTGTTGTGTTTCCGTGTGCTAATTGCAGTTGTTTTGATGTTTCACGTAGCAACGTCATGTATGCTAATTTGTTTTTTGCATGATTCTGTTTACAGTTACAATATAATAAGGAATGATAAGGATAAACTCCATTTGAAAAGAAAAGAAAGCCTTGTGTGGAGCATCAACCCTTTTATTTGTTCGCTGGCTGTCTAGTGTCACGAAAGTAGGCGTGTATCGAGGACAGCACAGAACCACCATATTTTAGCAACATGACACTAAATCCGATTTCTTCTTTTCTGAAGATGTTATTTTGTTGTTTCGTTTCACAGGATGTTCTCAACGAAAAAATACACATTTTTATGATAAATGTGAAAATCAATGTCAATGTAACGCGAGTTCATGTGATTTTTCGGGGGTAATAATTAATTAGTCCTGTTAATCCAAATTTTCTTCCACTTTTATTTCACAAAGTTTAATCTTTTGGATTTTAGGACAGTAAATGCAGCGGAAGACGTTTTATTTGTTGTGTTTTTAATCATTGCTAGTTTGATTAGAATAAACCAATCGATGGTGGGACTAGTTTATTGCGCAGACTGATCCCGTGCACCGGCCCTGTGTTGCAGAGCAGCGCTACGGGGAGGTGAACCAGCTCGGCGGGATGTTCGTTAGCGGCCGACCGCTGCCGAACCCGGTGCGGCTGCGGATCGTGGAGCTGGCGCAGCTCGGTATGCGGCCCTGCGACATCAGCCGCCAGCCGCGGGGCTCCCCCGGCT